GAGGGCGGCGGGGGGTGGCCGCCCCCGCGCAGGGCCGCCAGACACACCTCCCACCGGCTGCGCTCGCCGCGTTCCCTCCCGGGGGGTCTCCGGGGTCACGCTCGGCCCGATCCTCGCTCCTCATTTAATAGCCGTGCTTCTCCCCGCTCTGTTGGGGGGCTTTTTTTTTTTTTTGCCTGTTTTTCCTCTCCTTTCACCGTGCAGAGCTCAGGTCCTGTACCCGAAGCTGTCGGCGAGGTTCTGCGGGTACAGGTAACCGGTATTTTGGCCCCCCCCGACAGGACGTCAGCTCGTATTCGATTACTCGGTGACTCATTTTTAATAGCCCTGAAGTGAACAGGGAGCGCGCATCGCCACGCAACCCAACTTACAGGCTCCCCAGCGGAGGCGATGCTCGAGCTTGAACAGCAGCTTAGGAGTCGCTTGGAGTTCTGCTTCTGGCTCCTGCATGGGCGTCCGTCTGTCCCCAAGCAAGTCGTTCCGTCTGCTGTCGGCATCACCACCCGCAACCTGGAAACGGCGTGCAGACTGTCTGAAAAGTGCTTTGGGATCCTCGGTGAGAGGACCTGTAGAAATAAAGTGCACAATAGCAGCAGCGCTCTTGTCTCTTTACGTTCGTCCCGCAGAGAAAGGAGGGAAAGCGGTGGCAGAGGTCTTGGATGCCGGTTCAAGCCCAGACTACGAGATTCCCTGGGGCTGAGCTGTTTCAGCGGGGGGGTTTAAAACCAAAAAACCCTGTTGCAGACACGTAAAACGTGGTATCGCAAAGCCCTTAGATGGGGGACCGTACGCGGGAAGCCCCTCGGCAGCTGGGGCGGGTTTTTTGAGGGAGACGCACGCTGAAATGCCGCATGGCGTCACTCCTGCTTCCCCGGCGAAGGGAGCCGTGGAAAAGCTTCAAGTTACTTGGAATTACTTCAACCCCTGGTGACGAAGGGTGCTGCAAACGGGAGGGGAAGCTGCGGGAGCCCCCGCGCGGAAAGCCGGGGAGGAGGGCGGGAAGGGGAAGGGGGCCCGCGCGGTCGCCGTGCCGTACCTCCTCTGGCGGGGAATGCTTCCGTGCCCCCCCCCCCGGGGACTTTG